AAAGATGCATGTCCAGGAACAAAGGGACAGAAAAGGGGGGGGGGGGGGGTAAGCACATAGGGAAGAAAACGGGAGATGTTTCAGATATGCTGGATGTGTATGTTATCAACAACAGTCATCAAATCAATTAGGCCTTGATACATTCTTTTGCTGAAGAAGTCTCCAGATTTCTTTCTTATAATGATCCCCCCCCTCCCCAAATATAAAATTTGAAAAGGTTGGATTGATTTATTTAAATTGTGTCAATCTTAAACTTTTACAAAACAACATAATGATTCCTCTACGTAATTTGTAGGGAAATGTTTTAATTTGGCAATTAAGGATAACATACACATCAAAAGGAGGATTTGCTTAGCATTAAAGCAGTTGGGACTCATCTCTATAAATGTTACACTATATCCATATCTAATTCTAAGATATAATATTACATAATCATGCAACACATGGGATTAATTTCAAATCAATTAGGGTGTATGACACAAACACTGCTATTTTCCAACTATAAAAATTGTTTCACTGAAAGCCAAATATATTTTGAACAAAAAGGTACACACACACAAGTACAGATATTCAGGTACTAATTTTATAGAAAAATAAATGAATGTATGGACACAAATTGAAGAAAAAAAAATAATCTAAATGTTTCAGTGCATGACAAGCATAGACACAATTTTGTTTGGCTTCAGAAAACCATACACATCAACATAGACATAGATGTCACCACCTAGGTCAAAAAATAAAACATGTCATAAAAGTCTCAAACATTAACATAGGCTTCATGATCTATCTATCTATCTATCTATCTATCTATCTATCTGCTGAGCAACTGGCTACTGGTGAGATTAATGCATAAACATATAATGCAGGAACTGAAACAAAAAGTCTGAACTGAGAGATGAACCCACTTTATGGAGAGACTGCCCACGTCAACAGAACACAAAAACCAGTTTACTACACTGGTGAGAAAACAAAGCAGCTGAAACCTAAGTAAAGAAGTGTTCAGACAAAGTTAAATGTATCACCAATCAAGCAAGCCTAATTCACCTGGGAAAACAACAACCNAGGTACTAATTTTATAGAAAAAAAATGAATGTATGGACACAAATTGAAGAAAAAATAATAATCTAAATGTTTCAGTGCATGACAAGCATAGACACAATTTTGTTTGGCTTCAGAAAACCATACACATCAACATAGACATAGATGTCACCACCTAGGTCAAAAAATAAAACATGTCATAAAAGTATCAAACATTAACATAGGTTTCATGATCTATCTATCTATCTATCTATCTATCTGCTGAGCAACTGGCTACTGGTGAGATTAATGCATAAACATATAATGCGGGAACTGAAACAAAAAGTCTGAACTGAGAGATGAACCCACTTTATGGAGAGACTGCCCACGTCAACAGAACACAAAAACCAGTTTACTACACTGGTGAGAAAACAAAGCAGCTGAAACCTAAGTAAAGAAGTGTTCAGACAAAGTTAAATGTATCACCAATCAAGCAAGCCTAATTGACCTGGGAAAACAACAACCAAAAAAATAAAAAAAGAAAAAAAAAAAGAAAAAAAATCACCAAAACCTACCCATATATCACACTTTCCAGGAAAGATCCTTTCAGGGAACCGGATGGCGTATATAAAAGCACCAAAGATATAGAGGAAAGCCATGAGGACCAGCCAGCCCATGGCCACGTTATTCACAGCATCCCAGAAACCATTCTGGATCACGTAGTGACACGCGGGGATCACACCGCTTAGGCCTAGAGCTACAAAGACACCTGGAAAGAAAGAAAATAAATAAATAAATAAATGGACAGTGGATGTGAAGCTGCTTTTTGATTTGTTGGAACAGCAATATGAAAGTCAGTTAATAACTTCATAAATATATATGAGCTTGAAACTCAATAACTGACAGAGAGGAGACAAAGAGATAATTTTAATCTCTTGGAAAATCACATCTTTAGGTATTTTAAAATAAGCAAAATAACAGAGAAGCTGACACAGAACTTGTTCACCCAAAACTCAATTTGCAAACTTCCCTTGATCCCCCAAAAAATAACATCAACGTGATACTTTCACCCTTTCACACCTCTGCTACCCATACTTCTATGTGTAACTATCTATCTAGCAACCTGTACACAATATCTTACCAGCCCTTACTGCCCTGAACCTCGGCTCAGCAAACTTGTCCCATAGTGAGACCAGTATACAGAAGCCTCCTAGAGTAAATATGAGTACAAGGTAGGCGATCTTTGGCCCTAGTTCACAGTAGAAACTGTAGTACAGCCAGGGCACGAAGGATCCCATAGTCAGCAGCGCTATACCACAGTAGTCCAATCTGAAATATGGATTAATATGTGTCAAGATGACAGTGAAATCCGTGAAAGAACAGAACAAAAAGTGCAGACATCATAAAAGTGAACACATTCAAGGCTACTGTAGCAGAGTATTTGCACTGCTTCTATTATCAATACTTCTAACATACTAAGTGGGATGGGCTTTTTTTCTCTGTTATGTGCCAAGTTCAACTTTGCTATATGTGTATACTGTTCTTTGTCACAACAGGATAGTCCAGTGAATTCAGGATTCAGTTATGTTAATACATAGAAAAGTGTCAATTTTATGTGGGGCTATAATACTCTAAGTATGCTGTTCAACAAATATAAGGGGAGCATCAAATAAAATAAATGTCGAAATATCTTAAGGGAAATTCTAATACATTCTGGACTCACTTATTGAAGAGTCTCCCCACACGCTCTGAGTGGCAGTAGACGGTGTGGAACACCCAGGAGAACCCTAGACACAGTATGGCACCTAGAAAGAAGGCGGAGAACACTGCTTTCTCCTGCCACTGGACTTCTATGGTGGGACGGGATAGGAAGTACCCCGCAATGCCTATGAAGGCTATAAAACCTAGAAGAGAGGAAATGAGTAGATGAGAAAATGTGACATGGATAATCATTCACAATTTTTGTACTGGTGACTTGTTACTTATGATCTATGACATGATGTTGATAATAAATCACAATATTTATATCTATCCAGGGTGTATTACACATTAAAAATCTCCTTTGAATAATCTAAAGTAAGTTTGTTTGTTTTTTTTTTATTTTAGAAAAAATAAAGATTATGTGAAATAAATAATAATTAAATACATATTACAGCATAAAAATTTGCAAGTCATAGAACCCTCTCTCTTTCATCATACCTAGCAGATGTGTCCAGATATTCCCTGTCTCTGTGTGAATTCTGAATACAGATTTAAAACAGTCTGAAAAGCTGTTCAGCTGCGGCCTGTGGCCGTGTAACAGAAACTCATTGTCTTTGAGCCAGTTCGGCAGGTGGTTGTGGTGCACGATCTCCCACCATCCTTTCTTGACAAACTCCTCCGCCTGTTCCATACGTCTCCCTATGGCGTGGATGATGTCCACCGCTGGGTTCAGGGCGTCCTCCTCTCCAGCCTCTTCTTCATCATCATTCTCTGAGTTATGCTGGAAAAACACAAGATTAAAGGCAACTTTAGTCAAGAGATGGAGAAAACGTGATGGACGGGGCTTGGTTAGCTTACTCTATGGGTGTGTTCACAATGAATCTATCACACTAGCTTGTGCGCACTAACCCACGGGGACTCTTGCTGACTGCAATCCAATTAACATACCTCATAATGTTTCAAGCATACTTAGATTTTCGATATTCTACTCATGCCAGGAGGAGGTGTGTTAATCTGTTTATATATGATTGTATCCAGTGAATGTTCCCGTGCAGTTAGTGTGCACTACTAGCTAGTACCATAGATTAATTGTAAATGCACAGTGACACCATGTTTTAGGATAGCCTGGGGTGGAGTGGAGGGAGTTGCTTCTCTTATTCTTTATATGAGGGGGTAGAGTTGGGGTAAGGGAAAAGGTGCCAGGCCAGTATTAAGTCTTAAGCTGGTGAATAATGAACCTTTTCAGCCTAATCAAAATTATTAGAAGATGATATTTATTACTCGACCAGCAAAAAGTACATGCTCTACTGAGCCAAGATGATAGAAGGATGGTGGAAACTAGTACCTGAAAATAAGAAAGGAAATTCAAATGCTTCATACTGAAATTATTTGTAAAATCTAAAATAAAATTTCAAAATGATTATTCATTTATTTCTCTTTTTTCCAAAATATTTTGTCTTTTCATTAAATTTTATTGAATCATTACCATTCTCAAAACAATATTATTCATCTATAGTAAGCACATAAATATATCATGTACCTTTACAGATGTCATGGCACACCAAAATTTTCACACATGCAAACCAGGCAATGTGCACTAACCTTACAATATAAGCCACACACACATCAAGTGTCACAAGAACATGTACATACCATGCATTAAACAGCTGTAATATGTACATTGTAGACGAGAGAATTGTATTGATCAACATTACATGGAACACAATGTATATAGTAATCACATTTCTGAGTAATGACATGAAATGGTGTCAAAACACTTTGTAAGAGGACACGGATTACATGCTTGGTGGCAATGTTGGTTTTATGTCATTTTGGCAAAGCAGGCCACATAAAAATCAAAAGGAGCTTCAACTCAATGCTGGTCATCCTAGATGATTGAAGGGTAGAATACAACTGCCATACTAAGTAGCTGCCAATGCACTTGTGTTGTAGTGTCAATGTGCTGAAATTTCGTCAGCTGACCAATCTTCATATAAAATGCACTCTATTCTAATTATATAAATTCAAATGTTTCTTTAATAAAACCACACTGTGTGCAATCAATAAACCAATCATTATATCAAATAAAATTAAATAAAAGCAACCTCCTAGTAATAAATGCACACTATGTACAATGGCAGCATAACAGAATTAACACAAGTGCACACAAACACACACTATGACTAATATAGTACTAATACATTCTAAAACTATATTTCAGCATCTGAATGCTGCTACAAAAGCTCAATATCAATACAACATTTATTTTAGCTAAATCATTTTTAACCAAAAATGGCAAAAATCTTCGATGCAAGCATGAAACCAGACAAGACATTTTGCTTTCAAAACCCTCGGATGCATCTCCTCTTACAGATTCTTCTTGTGAATCATCTTAATTAATTTCATCGATTTTTGTCTCTCACACACTGTACAACACGACTGACTTAAAATCAATAATGACATGAAATGAGCCTCTGATGAATTGCTCACTTTCCCGACCTAGAGAGAATTTTGTTTGGGTCGCTTCTGGATCAAGAAAAAATCCATCGAGTTACAAGACACTTACAGAATTTTGTAATAAAATAATCAATTGCACTGCACAACTGGTGTAACAAATACAGATCTAAGCATGTGTTTGTGCAGTTCATAGCTCTGAATAGTTCCCACTTCAGCATGTGATGATATAATCACCCAGGTTATCAAGCTACACTTAAGGGCAATGAGCTACTGTCTACAGCATACTATGACCCATTTTATTGAGAATAACGTTTTATTTTATCATATAAAGGGCTGCCACTGTTTGTTTATTATTGAATACAATATTAATAGACTACAAGTGTCTCTTTTCAAAAGGCAATGAACTAAAAATTAACAACCACCGAGAGCATTCCTCTTGTCTGATTTATAGTTCACTATTGTGACATGAGTGTCCACTTAAAATTTTCTATTTTCATCATCTTACCAAATAGGTCAGATAGCTATCTGAACTTTGGACCACCTACATGTAGTTATATCATCCTGACATTGGTGACAGTTTTGTTTGTGTGTGTGTGTGTGTGTGTGTGTGTGTGTGTGTGTGTGTATTTATGTGTGTGTATGTGTGTGTATGTACGTGCTTGCCTGTGTTTGTGCGAGTCATCGACTTGAGGTCACAAGTCTATGTCAAGTTGTCAATAAATCAATGTGACTGGAGTTTGCCCATTAATTCTGAGTTATAAATCTGGTACATAAATTCTAATTACTAATACTACTAATAATAATGAGTTTATTAAAAACACAATCTATGATGTAAATGAGTACATGTTACCATAACATAAATATGTAATATGCTGTTGTATGTCATTGGGAAGCACAGTTTCCATGCATAAAACATAAGCAAAGAGCCAGTGTTGGCAAACAGAGGTGAAAAGAGCAGTCAGGCAGAGTTCCCATGCTTTATCCCTAAGCCCAGGACATAGCATCCGAGAATAGACGTGGCAATGCATGCAATCTTGGCTTGAAAATAAATATCGCAAAAAGATCATCACGAAGGAACATGCTTGCAGACATGTCATTGGGGAATTTCAAATAACAACAACATTCATATTCATAATTCATTGTTCGAAATTTAAGTCAGTTCCTCTCCCCCCCCCCTTTTTTTTTTTTGGGGGGGGGGGGGGGTCAATCCTCAACCAAATGACATGTCTGTACTTGGTAGTCCTTTTTACCTGTTTTGCACAACAAATACAGGAATATTTCTGTTTTCTGCTCTTTTTCTTTGGGAGCGTAAGTTCTGGCTCAAGCACCTGCTGCAGCATTAGCTACAAATTTCCCAAGAAGAAAGAGGAGAGAGAAAATGGTTGAAAAAAAAGATAGAAAATAGGATGAGTTCAGATGATATACATTTGTTATTTACAAGAGAAATGCTACTTGAAAGGAGACTTAAAGTACCATGATTGAAGAATACTGCCTATAATATACTGCTTATAAATCATCTCCATCTGAAGTGTGTGTTGGACATAAATATCCAGATGACAATCCGTTTAAAATAATTCTCAGAACGGTATGTTGTTAACTATTTAATTTTTTTCTGTCACGGTTTATAACAATAACTAAACAACTCCTGAATTTTGTACATCTCTCATCAAAAACGACCTGTCAGCATACCTATAATAATATGTGGTTGGTCTAAAATAAGAAAATGTAACAAAACACACAAAAAGGTAAACCTTACAGTGAAACTGTACATACCTCATAGTTAGCATCCTGAAGCAGCTTTCCTTCCTCCGTCTTCTTTCTGACTTCATCCCCACTGAGACCATTGTCCGGGTCATCCAAGTCTTCCGTGTCTGCCAAACTTATCAGCTGAGGTGAGTCTTCCACCAGGGCAGTGTTAGTAGATGACCTACTGTTTGAAGTGCTGGGTTTTGACATTGATTGTGTATGAGAAGTATTACTGTCTGTGCTTGGGATTGAAGCTGTTTGTGTGTTATTTCTCTTCGTGACAGTTGTCCGTTCTTGTTGTGTGGGACGTGGGAATCCCACTTCAGTGGTGGGGCTGACAGACATCACTTGTCAGTGTTGCATTTCCTTCTGAAAATATTTCAATGTGAACTTGATGTAGATCCTGAGAATGCAATTATGACATGATGAAATTACTGATTAGTTTTATGTAAATTGTAAACTAAATTAAGAAAACAAGTCGCTATATATTGGGTAAAAATGCTCATCAGACATATAAGGATCTTTGAACTTGTTGTCCTGAAGAACATTTCAAATCATAACATTATAACATACTACAACCGAATAGGCTATGAACATTATTTAAAAACTAATTTAATTTCAATTAACTTGATACCAGGAAGCAATTTCACTAGTAGTATCTTTTAGTAATCAACGCCTGATGAAAACTTTCTAACCTGTATCAATGACAGACAATATACTGACAAGATGCTAGATTACAGCTAACGTCGAATTACACCAATTACACCGGTGACGCTAGCATTAACTCAAATTACAATTAACGAAAGTTGAAATCTGGTCAAAACATTGTGTGAACCACTTCGACTTTGAGTGAGGTTTACTGTAAAAAAAACAACCTGTGCTGTTCTTCAAGGAAATCAAACTCTTACCTGAGACAATATTTGAGATCTCTGCGTACTTATTTCGTGTATAATAAATTAATTAAGGTCGTGCTTAGTCTTCTATTGACAATCCTCGATGTAGACTTCGACCTCTTCTACATCAACAAGATGGTGCCAGGGAACATCAGCCAATCGCAGCCCACTTCCTGTCGTGTCGTCACGGCACGTGCTGAGTTGCGCTTGTTGAGCTAACTGCCACCAGAGCCAGTGATTACACTTTCGTTTTCTTTCTCTTTGTGCAAAAACAATGAATTCATACTAAATGACAGTGATTCTATTTAATGAATATCGTTTATTTCAACTAAAAACTATGTAATTTGTTTATATTATGAACATAGAACATAAAATTTGGTTAAACAATAAAAGGATCGACGATGAGAAATTTTGTTCGCACGCCTATTGGGATTTCCATATCTTGAAATAACATGTTAGTCCTTTGACCCTGATTAAATCCTGGAGATAGCCTACTTACACATATATTGATGGACTTTGGCCCGATGATTAAAAGCCTAATTTTAGTGAAAATAAAACATCCATGACATTGATCATAAAGTTATGTT